CCCCCCCCCCCCCCCCCCCCCCCCCACCCACCCCCACACCCACACCCACCCACACCCACCCCCACACCCACCCACACCCACACCCACACCCACACCCACCCATAAACTTCGTAGAGAGTACAAGGATTTGGCTTGCACAATCTTCGCTGTTTCCAGTAGCCATGTACAATAATTTAATAAATGAGTGTGGAGTTTAAACCAAAAATCAATATTCCGTATTGATATATAAAATAATGAAGAGCAAACAATAAAACCTAATAAAATTTGATCACTGTTAGCAAATATATAGAAACCTAAAATTAAAATTAAAATTAATGGTTAGCAGATTTAGAGATCTAAACACAATAACATGAGTATTTTATTAATAATTTTTTAAAAAATACAAAAAAGAAATGTAAATATATAATTTTACAATATGCACGAAAAAAAAAAGCTTCAAAGTATGTCTGATTACATCATTTTCTTACTTCACATAACTTCTAACAATAAACAAAAAAATAATGATGGATCAGCACTATGATAGCTGTTATCATTCTTGTCTCTTTATATATATGTCCACGCAAGCAATGCTACAATATGCGGAAATGAACATCAAATTAAAAGATTTTTAGTTGATGCTAATATACATGGGGATTGAACTAGTGGTGTCGCCAGAAAATAAAGCTGAAGGAGGCTCAGCTCCCACGGACTTACCGAACTTCTAGACAGGAAAGACAGTAAAAAATTTTGCAGTACTGTTGTAAAGTTATTTCTCACTGCTCTTCTTTTTTTAATGATACTTTTAAGAAACAGTGTCCAGTAAAAACTGCTTTCTCTTAGTAAGATTTACATTTCTTGACAATGAAATAATTGCAGAAGAAATAAAGATTCATTATTCTTTTTAGAAGAACATAACACTGAAGACTATAGCTTCTCGAAACTGTGCAATTCATTAAAATAGGAACTCACTCGATTTCGAAGCAATAGATGCAAAACTATATCATTTATTATCTTTCATTGCCAAAGTAACTCAATAATTAATGAAGTTCTATTGCATAGTCAAAAATCAAATGAAGAAAAGAAGTCAGCAAATCAAAATATCACAGAAACGATCTAATTCACAGAATAAAAATTTTTCAAAATGCATGGCAATTATATGTACACTACAAAGTTTTTTTTAAAAAAATATCTCTGGAAAATCTAAACTTCCCTCTGTTATTAATGTTTGCTATTTTGAACAAGCCAAATGAATACTCTTATTAACACACTAGCAGTGTTCGACTCGGGTCTGCTCGGGTCGGGTCAAATATGTATTTTTCAGAAACAAAAATCATGTTAGTTTCTTGTTCATTAGTTTCGTGGTCTCACAACTAACAATTAGCTATATTAAAGCAGCATGTATATCATCTTTTGTCTTATTTCATTATTTTCCATTCATTCATATCTTAAGAGCATTTAGAGTACGTATATACAGGCTTCGCAGTGACACTACTTTCCTGATTTTTTCCTGATATTTTCAAAGTCGCCTGCTTTTCCTGTTTTTGAATAAAAATCCTGATTTTATCCTAATTTTCTTACAATTTATTTCTATAGTACTGAATTTGACACAACAATTACCCATTCTTTTGCTTTACTAAATCTGTATTTCAAATTTATATAATAATACTTATACAATATTTTCAAAAAAATAGAAAAAAGGATGTGGGTGTTCTCATCATGCACACAACCACATCGTCATTCGTATCATTAGATGTAAATGATGAATGACCAGACGTAACTAGTGAAACTGAACCAAATAACGGGTGCGGCAGAATAAATGGCCGATTCGTATTGTATTGATATTTCGATAAATTTTAATTTTTCAGGCCTTATTACTTTTTCTAAAAGATTCACTATAGAATTCTGCACAATGTACTATGGCTTAATTAACTAATAGATTTTTCTTTCTTTCTAGAGCCCAACTGTTTTCAATAGCGAGATTTGAACACCTTTCTAAATCTGATGTTTTTCAAAGAAAGTGTTTTCATTCTTCAGTCTTTGTGACTTTGTTTATGACATGCGTGAAGATTATCAATGCAAGTAGTATGCTACCAATTATTACCTTGAATGGATGTATTACTAAAATGAGCCGTAAATATGCCAAAAAACAAGTCGCAAATGATTAAAGAATGAAAAACTTTCTTTGAAAAATATCCAAATTTAGAAAGTTATTTAAATCTCGCTATTGAAAACAGTTAGGCTCTAGAAAGAAAGAAAAATCTATTAGTTAATTAAGTCATGTTACCTTGTGCAGAATTCTACAGTGAGTCTTTTGGAAAAAATAATAAGGTCTGAAAAATTAAAATTTATCGAAATATTAATAAAATACTAATCAGCTATTTATTTTGCCGCACTCCTTACATCCTTCATACATTGCATATGTTCCGGACGAGTGAAATGTCTTTTTATATCAGTCCAGTCACCATTAACACAACTAAAATCATCTGTATTACACACATTACATCGCAATGCATTAGCTTTTTTGCCTTTTAAAAGCCATCAAGAACAAACTCTGTTGATATTATCCAATCTAAGCAACCATTTTGAACAAAATTCTGTTTTTTTTTCAGTATTTTAAAAGTTTAAGTGAAGGAACATTTTTTTCAGAAATAAATGTTTACAACATTATGTTACTCTTATATATGGGGAGAAGTCGACACTAGACTAAAAAAGTAAGAGAAAGAGAAAGAACGATAAGAAGAAAAAAAGAATCAGTAGTGCATGTATGAGGGAAAAGTCACCTTCTTTTAAAATTTATTATTCGTCGACTATTTTTGCCATTTATCAAAACGACATGTGTCGTAATTTCAATTAATTATCATCATATCGTTCATTGTTATGTAGATTTAGTTCTACAAATTTATGTCAGAACAACTTTAAAAATGTCCTGATTTTTACTAAAATTCCTGCTTTTTGCTTCCAAGTTGTCCTGTCTATCTTCCTGATTTCGTGGCAAGGATCGCTGCGAAGCCTGTATATAATAGATTATCTAGTAACGTAATAGTGTTATACTCTGTACATAATATAAACAAATGCAGAAAAACACTGAAGTATTATCAGATGATTTTGTTGCCCGAACTGCGCAATATGAGCGGTACATCAAAAACCGAGAAAAAGGTCAAGGAGATGTCCTTATTTTTTAAATGCGCAATAAAACAACAAAAAGAACCGAAAAATTGAATTTCTCAAAAGAAAGAAAAGCGATCGATTGATATGTATATACAGATATGGATAATAGGCGAAAGAAAAAAAAGAATTTTAAGCACAGCCAATATGTGCATATATCAGTGTTTGACTCGGGTCGGGTCAGATCCTGAAAAAGTCTTGCCCTCGGGTTGGGTCGAGTCGGATCAGGTCACAAAAAAGTGACCCATGTCGAACACTGCACACTAGCCACAAGTAATTTCGTTCAGCCAAAGGAGCCAGAAACCTTTCTCAAGTCTTCGTAGAGAAAGCTGAGTCTTCTCAAGCTCTCCTCTGGATACGCCACAGGGTGAAACTTTTCTTCATTAAAATAATAATGAACACTTTCGAGTATTACAAGTGATTGATTATTACATATTCTGAATGTTAAAAAAAGCCTTTCGAAATGTCTCATAACGTGGAACACTTCTGCTATTACAAAAATAATGAAGGAGATTATGAATCTGATTCTTACGCATCAAAAGTTAGTTTCGTTTATTTTTAAACAATTGTCTCTTTCCATACGAACCCTAAATTAGAAACATTTTTTTAAGGTTTTTTTTATTGATATTATAATATGATCACTCACGTTTTTGTATTTTCTAAATTTTCTGCACTAATGTGCAAAGCTTCAGAGCCCGATCATAATTTCGTTGAGCTTCTAATTCATTATTTTCATCTTCTCTTTTTTGATCACCTATTTCTTCTGAGAAAAGTGCAAGATCAATGATTAATTTGATAAGAAGTCGTGTATCATCAGCAAAAATACCATCAATTTTTCTATAAGATCTTGAAAATCTTTGCAATATTGTTAATTCATTTGTTTCACAACGAACAAGTATTGAACGAATATTTTTGTATGCATGACTGTCGGACATAACATTTTGAATATTAATCTTTGTTTCGATGATTAGAGAAGCAATTCTTACTGAAGAATGTGTATTTAACCAATACCACAATTGTGTTTTTGTCGAAAAGTAGATAAAAGTTATATCAAGACATTTTACATATTCAATAAAAGCAGCTGTCAAAGACGTGTGCTTCTCACCCAACCAGAGTACTACAAAGGTACTAGCACATACTAAAATAAACAATCAAAAAAATCTGTAATCAGTGTTTTCTTGTTCCAGAAATGTCACAAGAATTCTTGTGAGCTGAAATATCTCTCCTACCATCGTCATGAATCAAACGAGATTGTTCATATCGATCAGACAATTGATCTAATAAATTGTCATTATCATCGATAATTTCATCGTTTTCAGGCCATGATTCTCGTGATAGATTAACTTCTGTGAACTGATCAATCGGTAATCTGTCTACTAAAGATGCCATGCGAACTTTTAAGATCTTTTTCGATTAGAACAACAGGGAAACAATTAATCATAAATAAAACGAAGTCGAAAAAATCTGAAAATAAATACACTTGCATTGATAGTTCACAATTGAAATTCGAAAAATAAAACGAATATTAGGAAATATGAAAAAGAAAAGCTCAATATTATATTTAATGAGTAATTCTCTATTCATAAATCATTTACATATTGAAAACAATGAGCAAAACGACGTTGTTTTACTCGCATTACGAAATAACACTTTTTTAGAGAAAAAAGGAAAGAGAGTAATCACATCGACTGGAAATTTTGCAGTTCTGTGAAATAGAATTGAGTCAAGGTCAAATAGAAACTGGAAGTAGTTCCTTTTTTTTAATTTTCTAACTTAAGAATAGAATCTGCTTATAATATGATTGCTTGACAAAAAATTTGATTCTTCAAGTGTTCTTTTTAAATAAAATAGTAACGCAGTATCTCTGTTCCAAATGGTCTATATGTAGAATTCTTACTAAACATCTGCAAGATAAATTTTTCTTAAAATAATTCGTACATCTTAGTCAATTTACCTTTATAATAAAAACATATTTGAATGCTGTGCTGACTGTTGTGTCAAATAAGATTAACGAAGCGTTTGCAAGTAACTCAGTTATGTTGGAAAATTCCAAGTAAAAAAAAAGTTATTTCTTTTCTCTATTATATGAGTAAAGCTTTATAACGTACGTCTATGGTAATGCATTCTTGACAGTGTAGATCCAATTAAACAATTTCTATGTTATGTGATTTTTTTCATATGTTACCGCCTTATTGAATTGTGTTTGTTTTCTCTTCTGTCTACAGGCGCTGTTTTGTTGGAAAAAAATCTAATCTTTGAGATGTTCTTCTTTCGTTCTGCCATAGTATGAATGTGAGTATTCATGTTCTTTCCTTGCACAAACACACTCGTAGTAACCTTTCGAAGTCTGAAAAACAGAACGTATGCTTGTGATATAGAGTGTCGGTGTGAACGTTGTGGGTGCGTATGGATGTAGGTGTCGCAAGAGAATAAAATATCCACACCCGCTCCGCTGTTAGCTAGAACAATGGATGAAGGCCTTATAATGGATTGATCACTTAAACTTTGGAGTATCTACAACGCAATTGATTGATAGAACTGTGAATTATTAAAATTCTCTTCGAAACAATCGAAACCTTTTTATTTTCTTCTTTGAGATTATTTTTCATTTTTTAAAAATATTTCTCTATGATGAGATGTCTGTCTTTTCTTTGCGAGAAAATGCTTCTTTTTTCTTTTTTTGTTTGTTTTAATAAGAATGTTTTACGATGTGGGTGTGGGTGTGGGTGTGTGGGGTGTGGGTGTGTGGATGTGTGGGTGCGTGGGTATGTGGGGTGTGAGTGTGTGGGTGTGGGGTGTTGACGTGGGTGTGTTTATGGATGTGGATGTGGGTGCGGGTGTTGGTATTAATTTCACAGGCGCACCAACACCCCACACCCACCGACACCCACACCAAAAGATTTCAGAAATTCAGCATATACATAAATGAACTTCAAGAATTTATGAAAAATTGCACATAGGATATAAATTAATTGTTTTAGACTTTTTTAAATGTCGTTTTATTTCATTTTGATTTTAGGAGATTTTAGATGACATTTAGAATACTGTAAATATTTGCAAAATCATTGGCAAATAGAAAATATTTGTGTAAAACACGTTCGTTTTCATGATTTGTCTATTTATATGACTTATCACAACTAAGTAAGACGCATTATTCATAAGTCATAGTATTTATTTTGATGACGAGAGCATTGAGGAAGTACGTGTCAAGCAGAAAAAGGCGTCTGCAATAGGTCTGTTTCATTTATATGAGTCTTAAAGAATAAAGGGCAATAAAAAAGCTTGTTGGCGGAGCTGAAATGTGGAACTCACGTATACCTTTAGCTTTATTACCTGACGCATCATCTGTATACTGAAAGACTTCTCGTCAACTATAGTTGTGTTCCTTGAGAATCGATGAAAAGAGCGGGAATTTATTATTTATTTGTATATTAAAAAAATATATTAAAAAAGAAAATATTGTTTTTTCATTTAAGCGTGCTCGATTTCATTTATAATTATTGCTA